ATTTGCAAGCAGAAGCGAAACGCACCGCAGCAAAACGGGGCATACGCGCACACACATACACACAGACACACAAACGTACACACACACACGCACACACCTGTGGGGGAGAGTTTGTCGTGAATTCCGTGCTTCTTGCGTGTCTTCGCCTGTGCAGACGGTGGCAAACAAAGGGGTGCGTAATGTGAATCCAATGCAGCATCTTTGTCGGCAACAGTGCAGGTACGGGTGTGAGCAAGCAATCATGCGATAAGACTGCCCACCTCGATGGACCAGATGTCGCTCTTTGGGAGGTACGGGTCAGTCAAGGAGAATGATGCTTGTGTAGAGTAACCGTGGATCACGAGAGGCACAGATGATATTCGCACATGCATGCACACACGAAGATGCAAGCAGTGCATGCATTACTAGAGAGCACACACACACACACACACACACACACACACACACAGAGGCACAGATGATATTCGCACATGCATGCACACACGAAGATGCAAGCAGTGCATGCATTACTAGAGAGCACACACACACACACACACACACACACACACACACACACACACACACACACACACACACACACACACACACACACACACACACACGACACGACGCACACCTTTGTTTCGCCCGAGTGCTCAAGCTCAACGGTGAAGACCGTGGATTTGATGCTGGCTGCACACACACACACACACACACACGTACACACACGTACACACACGACACGACGCACACCTTTGTTTCGCCCGAGTGCTTGGCCAGGTCAACTGGCGACGAGAACGCAGCCAGCGCACTGGGGTCCGACGTGTCGGCGCCGCCCGCCCCAGACAGCGATGCAAGGATGCCTTTGAAGGCCGCACGATGAAGGCATGCGTGTGTGCGTATGCCATGCGTATGAGTGTGGGTGTGTGGGTGTGTGGGTGTGTGGGTGTGTGGGTGTGTTTGAAAGAAAGCATGTGTGTGTGCGGGTGTATGTGTGTTTAGGGAAGCGGTTTTGCAGCACAGGGCATGAGCCAAATCCCGAGCGCAGACACGTACACAGACACAGATACACGCACAAACACCTGCACAGAGGCGCGTACTCTGGCCTGTCGAGTCAATGATGGTGCCTTTTCTTTTTCTTCGGCCAACCACGAGCTCCACATCCCAGCCAACACGAAACGTGTCCTTGATCTCGTGGAACACCGTGGAGTACAAGGCTTTGAACGTCTTGGCCTTGCGGTGGTGCGCAGCACGGCACACGGCCGCCTCAAGCCACGCGGGAATGGCCGCAACCTGCTCCTTGTGCTCTTGCTCCGACTGCACAGTTTGCGTGCGTGCGTGCGTGCGTACATGCGTGCGTGTGTGTATGTGTGTGTATGTGTGCGTGTGTTTGAGTGAGTAAGGTTCACAGAGTGAGAAGACAACACCAGCAAGAAAGTGCACCGCACCATCGCAGTCATTCATGCAAATACTACAGAGAACCTGTCCACACGCAAACACTGCCCCAACTTGGCAACAACGGTGACTCAAGCATGAACAAGAAAGGGGTCACAAACACTGCAGCCACACCAACCTCCAGCGCCTCGTCAAACGAGAGTTCTCCTTTGCCTGTGAAGCTGCATGCCCAGCGAGGTGCAAGCAACTGGAACTTGCGACTCAAGAAGTCACTGTCACGGGCAACGCAGAGAACGCGACAAGGTTCAAGAGACAACCGCAGTTCATGGTGAGAACAGAGCCTAGCTGGATGTCAGTTGTGGACAAGCAGGCATCCAATGAGACAGGGAGACAGCATGCGTGTCATGAGGCGTAAACATCAACACCCAAACGTACTCGTAACTCTTGAAGGCTTCGCCAGTGTCTTTGCAGGGGAACACTTTCTCGGAGTCACTGCACCGCATCCACAACAAAGCAGGCACGTGGCATTAGAACACGCGACCGGAGATGGGGGGGGGGGAGGTTCAAAGGGCTTACACAGGGCCCAAAAAGGTGCCAAAAGGCAGTTGAGCGCAACCACGCGAACACGTTCACATGTGCACACAAGCACACACAGACACACAAGCACACAGACAATCACACAAGTGAGAGCACGGAACAACACCGTGCACGCTTACTTCAGCGTCGGCACGGCCGGCTGAAACTCTTCGCCATCCAACGTCGGCATGGTGGTGGTGACCAATAAACACACTGCGCAAGCCACTCAAGGAGGTGTGAGTGAGCTACAGTACTGGTGTATTGTTCGTCGCATCAATGAGCGCCATCGACAAGCACAGGAGAGTGGAGAGGAGGGCAAAGCACATCAACCACCATCACCATCCACGTCGCACCTTGCTCGCTCGAAAACCGTTTTTGCGCGCCAACACATCCGCAACAATTGCACAGAGTCGTCAAAACGGCACATGAGTTGTGTGTGTGTGTGTGTGTGTGTGTGTGTGTGTGTGTGTGTGTGTGTGTGTGTGTGTGTGTGTGTGTGTGTGTGTGTGTGTGTGTGTGTGTGTGTGTGTGTGTGTGTGTGTGTCTGTGTGTGTCTGTGTGTGTGTGTGTGTGTGTGTTTGTTGACATGCGTTGTGGTCCTTCCTACCTTCCTCATCCTCCTCTCGACTGTATTTGTATGTGCCTTGTGTATGTGGCTCGGGTGAATAGACTATAATAGGTACTGGCTGCTGATGCGTGAGGCAGTGGGCGACCCCCACCAACCAACCCACGAACGACTACATACTGACGGATGAATGGTGATCGAGCCACTGCATCACCCAGACAGAGAGGTGTGTGTGGGTGTGTCGACGTGCGTGTGCTCTTCTCCACCCATCCACACGCCATCATCACCGCCTCCTCATTTTCTTGTGTCTTTGCTCACATCCTTCCCTTCCCATCCTCAACACCACTATCACCACCACCCTCCACACTTGCTCGTTTCCCCTTCTTTCTTTCTGCTGTCGCCACACAGAGGGCCCTTGAGCCAGCAGCTGTCATCCCTCCCCCTCCATCAACCACCACTGCTCTGGCGGGATGAACAGACGGGCGCTGTCATGTGATGACCATCCAGCCACGCCTGTGCGGCTGTGGAAGCAGCAACACCAACAATACACCACAAACAAGCAAGCGAGCGATGAGCAACGTGAGTGCACCACTGCATGTGCATGTGCATGCTGCGCACCGCACCAGTGTGCGTGTCTGTGATCGTTGTCTCTGCTGCTCCTGTCTCCCCTTGTTGTCCCACATGGATGTGCATGCATGTGTGTGTGGTGCGGCTGCCTGTTTTGCTTTGCTTGATGCGCTGTCTCATTCGTCGTTCTCACACACAACTGCCTGCACACCTGCACATTCTCCACCTTGCAGCCGCTGCTTATATTCCCCTCTCTTTCTCGGCCTCCCTGGCGGCCATCACAACAACAGCAGCAGCAGCCAACACACCCTCCACCGCCAATGCAGCAGCAGCAGAGAATACACCACCACCACCACTTGCTGCTGAACACATTCCCCAGCCAACCAACCAACCAACCAACCCATCGCCCACTGCTGTGGCGGAAGCTGGCTGTTTGCAGCTGGGAACAGGTGGCGACAGCACAAGTTGCATTTTCGGCTGGAAGCAGCAGCAGAGGTGTGAGGGCGAGAAGAAGAAGAGGGGAAACGGAGAAGAGATGTGTGTTGGATGGATGGATGGATGGATGGATGGAATGAGGTGGGGTGGGGGATGCTGGGTGAGTGTGGTGTGGTGTGGTGTGGCTGGTGACAGAGGATGATGATGTGTGGTGGTGTGAGGAAGAGGGATGGATGGATGGATGGGGTGCAGCATGTCTTGTTCCCCTCCCTTCTGTTTTCTGTTTTCTCCCTCTTCCCTTTCTTCTTCACTGACATGCACGCACACCATCAGCAATGGCAGCAGCAGTGTAGCTGCGCACATATCCATGCTCCCTGTCTCCTCCACTCACTCACATGCTGGTGCTCGCACA